GGTATATTGTGGGCAAATATGAATTCCAAAGACTTAAATCATGCTTCATAATAGTATATATATATATATATATATACTTGCAAAAACATCTTTAGAAGATTCAATAGGACACTTGCAGTATGGCGTCATTTACTACAACTACCATGATCCCTTGAAAACGTTTTTTTATTCAGTTAATCAGCAGTAATTGTCTTACTATTCTCACGAGGGAATAGTACGAATTTGAATGGGAGAGCGGAGAATTCGCAAAGTATTTTGGTAGTGGTAGTTAAATGACGCCATCATGCAAATGTCCTATTGGTTATCAGCTAGTAGTTGCGATGATGCACTTCATATGTTTGAATATCATATCTATATTATTCACCAGAGAAGCCGATTTAACGTGCCAAAAGATTATCGCAAATGAGGTTTTCAATGAAAAGTCCAAAGCAACGTGTCTTTAGTTGCACACGCGCGTACCTCATGGATACTGTTGGACCTAACGAATTCAAATGTATTTATTACCTGCATGTTGAGTTTTTTCCATCGGTATTTTCACAAATGCCATGATTGCTGCAGTTTGATAAAGAAGAGCAGTCGGAAGGCTTGCTGCAGTCTTCGCCCTGAAATCCTGGTTTACACTTGCACTGATTGCTTGATATGCAGTCTCCATTTTGAGAGCACTGGTTAACGTCTGGGCAGTCGGGAACACCACAACTAACTCCGGTCCATCCTCGGTCACACTTACATTCGTAAAGTTGTACGCATCGACCGTGACCTAAATACATAAGAGGACATAAATGTAAGTTTTTAAAGACTAAGTGTGTTTATGGTGAAACGAAGAGTAAAGTTGTACCTGAACAGAACGATAGATCGTGACATGAAAATTCTGAGCAGTTTTGACCTGTCCATTCCTTGTTACATTTGCAGACGTCAAAATCAACGCAGACTCCATGGAATGAGCAATTTCCAACGCCATAACAAGTAGGCACAATGCTACAGTCCTTCCCTGATTTTTAAAAGTAATTTTTAAAAAACTCTTAATTTAGGATGGATGTGAAAAATAAATCCCTACGACAATAGCGCGATAATGCAATATCATGGAATAGAAAAAATTGAATGATCGTTCTTATTTATCCAAAGCGGAGTTATAGATGCTTACCTGTAAATCCATCATTACAATGACAGACKTCAGAAGTCTTGCATTTCCCGTGAAGGGGACTTGTGCAGTTGTTTAGATTCAAACACGTAGCTGTTTTTAATAGAATGGGTTAAATATATTACTAGTTTTTATATTGAATTATTTGTAAATACAGGCTAAACGTATCAAAATATTGCTGGAACTTGAGCTTTGTTCACCAATGCAAAAGAATGATGGCGATAATGATGAAATAATAATGTTAATTATTGAGCGGTTTTAATTTCGTATGGGTGGGAAACAATACCGACGGCAAATTCGTACTTTACTTTATTTGTATTCGTACCTTATCTTACCGTAGCCGTAATTACGCGTACTCGTTGTGATTGGATGGATTAATGGGAGACAATGAGAAGCCGTGTACGTGCTGTGAGTCAGTACTGCATGTTCCCCATGCACTCATATACAAAAACCACTCTAATGATGATGATGTTGGTAATTTGATAACGATTGTAAATAAAATGGCTATGGCTTTAGCGATGGTAGGGGCAATAGCTCTATTATATAAAAGGGTACACAATAAAAAAATGAGAGTGAAGAACCAACTAGAAAGAATTACGCCAGTGGTGACATGAATGAAATGCTATAATGGAAAATCTAAAAGATTTGACTGACGTGGAAGAGATTTCTTTATCAGTGCAAAAGTATCAAGGTATTGCACATGTCTTATACAGCATATTTACCTTCTTTGTCACAGTTTTCTCCTTCCCAGCTTGTATTGCAGTAGCAAAAACTATTGATGCATTTGCCATGCAATAGGGAACAATTAGCACATTGTCCTAAGCAAAACAAATCGAATTAGCAGCAAATATATATATCATATCCAAATAGGTAGTATAATGCTTTTAATATAAACTTACCTTTTTCGCAGGCTTTACCCGACCATCCTTCAATGCATTCACAGGTTTTGTTTACGCAGTGGCCTCGCCCAGAACAAACATTTTCACAACCTAATAATTCAACAAACCATTGTTAGTAGCTTTAGCTTTCTTAAAAGTAGAAAGTCTTTTGTGCAACCCGTGCCCTGATGCTCTTAACATGAATGGCTCTTTCGTCAATGTTTTAAATTTACTGTCAATATGTCATAATGCTTTAAATGTTATGGGTTTTTAATCGGATTCTTATCGATAAATTGAAATACCTTGCTGTAATGTTTCTTGTTCAGAAAGGGTTGTGTCATTCGTAATGGCGACGTCATACACACAGTCTTTCAGCAAATCTCCAGCCAATCCCATGGATGAGCACACAAGTATCGCTTTCTGGAATTAGATAAAAAGAGCAATAATGGAAAGCAAATAAATGGATCAAAAAAGGAACAAGCAAGGAAGCAAGGAAGCAAGGAAGCAAGGAAGCAAGGAAGCAAGCAAACCTTTTTGGTCTGTTCATCAATTCCTGCTAGATTATAAACAGGTATAAACGTTGAATCGGTATATGAATAATCCATGACATCATCAGGATGAAAATTAGAGTCCTTCCATGACCAAAGAAGTTCCTCGCGACTGGAAGTTTTTATTCTCCCTGTTTAAACAAAGTAAAAAATATATTTAATGGGTATGCAGCATTTTGTGATCTTCAAAGACTCAATTTCTACGTTGGTATTTATTCCTCCAAGTACTTACAACTCTCTGCAAATTTGATGGGATCAGTGTATATCTTGCTATCTGGTCCCTGCAAATCGTTGGACGGATCCCCATCCATGTACCCATACAAGCCGCTAGTTTTCTTCATAAAGTCAATAGTAGGAGTCAGTCCTACATTGATGTATTGTCTGTCCATTACTTTGCTGTGTCGAACGTCTAAGCTAACAGCTATGCCTATAATCAAAATTAAAAAGAAACAATAATAGTAAACAACATGCTGGGGATGCAGACCTAATCTTAGTATCGTTTCTTAACTATAAGTTAACTGCACTTTACTAACCAAATAGTCTGGCTATATCTTTCTCTTTAAATGTATCATGACCTACCAGCTCCCAGTGGTAAGAGAATTTTATAGACCTAATTCGTCTTGGTGCAATGTTTTAATCTATTATATTAATCACCTGATTTGTATTCAACTGACATCAACATGACTACTGACTCTTTTTCGTTTCCGGTTGAATTTCTGTACAATYTCATCGAGACTGTTCCATTGTCTAATTTRAYTTCTTTACCCAAAAGKAAGTTTATATGTTGACTTTGTCCATTTACCCTGTGGKTGAAAGAAATAGTTCCAATTTAATTTGTTTCAGAACAGTTATGACTGACTGTTATATTACTATGGTTGAATCAGCTTTGTTGTGCAGTAACCTTGATAATTCAAGGTCAATTCTTGGGGTGCATGTTACGTCATACCTGCCATGTGGGTTGACTATACAAAGCATTTCTCATTAGTTTCTTTTTGTTACATCAACCTAGATGGCAGCTGTTTCATTGTTATTATCTCGATGGATTTTGAGTTATGTTGCTGCACCCCAAGAATGGATAAAGATATAGAGGATATTACATGGGCGCTTGGAGATACGAAATTTATCTTCTCGTGTTGAAAATCTCTCAGGAGTGAGCGCGTTTATTATATAATTGTCCATAAAAGCAACTTAACAATCTTTTTATTTTATAAAAAAATTTTATTCATAAACTAATAGCTTAAATACACATGGTAACGATATTTTCACATGTGAAAATATCAGTTTTTCGAAAAGGAGAATTATATCAGTTATTATATGATAAATATAGGTATTTTATGGATAATTATATGATAAATATGGGTATTTTATGGATAATTATATGATAAATATGGGTATTTTATGGATAATTATATGATAAATATGGGTATTTTATGGATAATTATATGATAAAAGAAAATAACATAAAGAAAACGATACGAAACAAAAAATGATGTTCATCCTTGTAAACGATTTATAAGCTCAAGATATCAGAAAAAAACCTTGCCGTCCTAAGATCTATTCATAACATTCAATTATTTATTATTATAAATTATAACTTTTAATCACAGTTCAAATGGCTTTTGATGTTACCTGAGTACAGGAAAGTCAGCACTGCTAGATGTGCGAACTGTCATTAATGTGATGGTGTTGTTGCCTGCTTTAAGCGCAATCCCTCCAGTCAAGGAGCTTCTCTCGTAGGCAAAGAAGCGGAACTGAAGACCAAAGTCATTCTCGATGCTTTGACATCCCCAGAGTTCTCCAATACCAAAATAGTCATAATTGACTCCTGCAACAAACACATGAAATAACAACAACATTCATAATATTCTATAGTTATGTCTTAGTAGGATAAAACTAAAAATAATAAATAAATAATAATATCTATTTATAGTTATGTCTTAGTAGAATAAAACTAAAACGAATATTTACCATCGAAGGTGCTCAAGTGAGGATCACCAGCGATAACAGATGGTGCTCTTACGTTACATGAAGTGCCAATCCACCCAGGAAAACACTTGCAAGTCACTTTGCAGTTTACAGAACCAAACGTTTTTCCATAGACACACCCTAAGAACACAAAGTTACAGGCTTTTTTCTTGAAAATATTAACATCTTGGTGGAATGCACATTTTTTTAAACATGGACACTTCTCAAGATTATCGTGGATGCAAGGCTAACATGAAAACACACGAGATATTGATCAGCGTTTTGACCAATGGAAGTTGTGTTATTTCTTTTGTATTTCAATATTAGCCTCACCCTTCAAGATAATTTTGAGAATGGTGCGCATTACCTGACGGTGGATCGGGCTTTGAACATCCTTCTCCTGACCAACCAGGTAAGCAGACAGGGAAATCACCACACTTTCCTCTGCCCTTGGTTATTTCGTCATCGTTACCACACTCAGTGTCTGGAGGTTCGGGTGGTAGTTTATTGATTTTCCGTTTGCAAAACTTTAAAGCAAATAAATTAATGAATAAATACTCGAACAAACGAACGAACGACCGAACGGAGGAACGAACAAATGAATGGATGATTGGTGAATCAATAAATAATCGAAAGAAAGAGAAAACAAATTAATTAATTAATTAATTGATTAACGAAAAAAAGGAAAATACTCAATGAAGGTTAGCACCGTCTTAACATAATCTAACTTAATGGAAATATAATATTTGGTACTTGAGCTGTAGCAGGCACTTCAATATTATTCAAACTCGTAGCTACAAGCTGCACGCTGAATTTTTATTTTTCGCCGCAATCAATCAAAATTAATTCGTCAGTAGGTACCTTTTCCATTTTTGACGGCAGGAAAAGCCAAATTCCTACGAGCAATTCGTAACTGCTAAGTTTGGGGAATTTGCATTTGGGAATTTGCCGAAAGGCGACAAAACTGAAAAGTTAAGTTTTAAAGATATATTAATAACGTAAAAAGTGTATTGTTTATAAACATTGTTATCCCTACTCACCTCATCCAACGCGGGAAGTGATGCATTATAGCAAATTCTAAAGAAAAAAAAAACGAAAACCTGTCTAACAAAGGTATGCCTTCTAAGTTTAAAGAATTTATGTGCAATAAATTATGATGCATTGCAATAGTGACGAAGCCCTATTTGGGTTGGGGGGGGGGGGGGGGGGGGGGTTTAGGGGGTACCCAAGTCCATCGTCTGAATATCACAGCTGCCTGTGTCGCAATTTCGGAACGTTTTTGTGTTGCTTGTTGGGATTTACCCCTAATTTATAATAAACATGGCCTCGCTGTCGATAATCCATTATTAAAAGCATTATGTCGTTCGTCGCTAGTTCGTGGCTCTAGTGTCACCGTTTCAAGTCCATCCAGCATATTGGAATTTACCCCTAACAGGTCCTCAAGGAAGCATTCGTTTTATATAAAAAATGAGAAGAAGAAGAGAAAATTTGCCTAGAGAAAAAAGATAATTAACAGGTAGTGATTCATACTTTTATGTTTTGTTAATACTTACTCTTTGACAAACATTGTCATACATCCAAAGCTTTTGCTCCATAGCTCACTGTCCCCCAAATATATTGCAACCTTGATTTTCTTCGCGCCAGCTTTGAGTACCAATCTCTTTTTGGGGTGACAATGACGAGAACATAAACTTGTTGAACCATCAACTATGATTGGTATTTCCAACCATAACTTGGCAGCAAACGGGTTTCCTAGGAATATTTAAAAAAATAACTGCAATCTGTCTGTCTTTCTTTCTTTCTTTCTGTCTGTCTGTCTGTCTTTCTTTCTTTCTGTCTGTCT